CCAAGTCTTTTGGGTTTTCCCTTCTCTAATAATATTTTTTTTTACTCACCATTTCGACACACTGTCTCTCCTGTACTGCTTCTGTTTCAGGGGCTTGTCCCAACCTTCTGCAGCCATTTTGGCTGCTTCTCTTGAAGCTGGCAAAAAGAGCTTTCTCCTGGATCAATCAGGGACTTTGCGATGCCCCTGAAATCAGCAGGACATGCTCTTCTCTATCACTGTTCCTTCAGAACAGTTTAGGTCCAAAAGGACCGTCCAGTAATAGAGCTATCGACAGCAATCCTGGAACCCCAAGATTGCATGTCATGTTGTTTTGACGTCAAGCCCTGCCTCTCCACTTCATTCAGTTTTGATCATACTTGCCTGTGCCATTTTAAAATAACAGAGTCTAGTGGCTGTTTAATCAATTTTGTGAAATCTCCACAATTATATTCACAGCTATTACAGGAAGTGTGATATCTCTGTGTTAACTAAACCCTGTCCACATCTCCAACACTTTGATAAGTTGTTTTTTAATTTAATAATAGGTTTAGTACCATGACAATTGCTTCTAAAATATAATACAACATACCCCAACCTATCAAATACTGTATGAATTGTAAAATGTAATATGTTGGTGTTCTAGCAATTACATTGCCAACTTTTATATATGTATAGGACAAGGGTGATTCTGCCCTGATCGCTGGAATTGGTAGTAACGAATGCTTCCAGTTTCCTGAACTGGTAGTAAAAAAATGCTTTTAAAAAAGTATTTTAAAAAAAGATTGCCACCATCCCACGGCACAGCTGATTGTCACAGCTGATGAACCTTTTTTTACTTTTTTAAAAGCAGTTTTACTAACTATTTGCCCAACTGGTAGTAGAAAAATGCTTCAAAAAGTTTTTTAAAAAAGGTTCCGACTATCAGCTGTTTGACGGTCAGATGTGCTGGGGGATTTGGGAACCTTTTTTTTTTTTTTTTGCTTTTTTAAAAGCATTTTTACTACCTATTACCTTAACCGTGACTCTGTGAGGTTCCTGCTTGTTGCAGGGGCTATTTTATGTGAAGTCCAGCTGCTTTTGCATTGTGTGAGTCAGTTGTGTAGGAGTCAGTTGTGTAGCTTTTGCATTTAATTTTGTGTAAAGTGTGATAGTTGGTTTTTGAGCTGTCTGTGACTGTAAGATTCCTGCTTGCTGCAGGGGCCATTTTGTGTGAAGTCCAGCTGCTTTTGCATTGTGTGTGAGTCAGTTGTGGGCTTTTGTGTTGTTTGTGTGTGAAGTGTGAAAGTTGGTTTTTGAGCTTATCCAGTCACATGACCATGACCACCCAATCACATGACCACCAAGCCACGCCCAAAGAACCAGTAGGGAAAATTTTTAGACTTCATCACTGGTATAGGATATGTTGTAGGTAACATATTTAAGCCTAAAAACTTGGCTGGTACTCCAAGAGCTTAAAGACTGTTATTTATGAACTGAACACACTTATTTGAAGTGCAGCAGTTTATATTCCATATAGACTCTCTGCCTGAGATTAAAATAAATATCAGTGGAAGCAGGACTTCACCACAATGACTCAAATGTCTGGGAATGATCATTCTCTTTTTAAATTACAAAAGAAATGGCAAATCCTCTTTTGCCAGACTAGCATTATTCAAATTGAATTACTAATTTACTCCAGTTCCCGTTTACATTTCAGCTGTATTATGAATCATTGATGTATGTTTACTATTACACACTCTACTTTGCTTTAAATTTGACTTTTAAGCACACACCTTCCAACATTCAGATCAACTGAACAATGGGCCCTTATCCTAGAAGTTATTTTAAAAAGTGCACACAAACAGTACACTACATTGTATTGCACACCAACCATGAACCAATATCAATTTCACAGCATTTTTTCCCCTATTCTATAACTTTTCTGTCCACTTTTTGACTCATCTTCCAATTTGTCCCTTTCTTGCTCTCTGGATCGCTCTTCCCTTTGCCCCTCCCTTTTTCCTGTGTTCATTCTGTAAATTGTACACTCAGCTCTCAGCAATTTCTAATGCAAAGCAAGTGATAACCACATTCAAATTAAACTTTCTCTGTTCATTTCTATCTCTCCCACCCTCCTTCCCTCCCTGTGTGTGTGTGAGAGAGAGAAGGGGGGGGGCATCAAAAACATTCCCATCTTTATTTGTTTTGGATAAATGTATGCATTACAGATGTACTTAACATCTATGTATTGAGCAACAACAAGTTACAACAAAGTTGAACGAGGGGTACTTATGACAGATCCACACAGTTGTGATCTTCACAGTGTCCGCAAGGTCATGAGACCACAGTTTGGATGCTTGAGAATCAGCTCACAATTACACTGTTGCAGTGTCTTGCAGTCACATAATTGCCATTTGTGAACTTTCCAGCCAGCTTCCGAAAAGCAGACTCGATGGGGGAGCCAGAAGAGGGTCACCAATGACAATCATGAGACATGCTGAGAGCACAAAGAATTTGTCTAATGATGTCAACTGAGACTGTCAGAACTGCCATCACAAGTCACATGATGTTGCACCTTACAACTGTGTCACTTAGTGATAGAGTTCCTAGTCCCCATTACAGTCAGCAACTGGGGATTACCTGTATAACTGAGCCACTAATTAGTACTTAAATAGAAAAGATAGGCTATTCCATAGTAATCAGTGCATTTAATAAAATAAGGAGGGAGGGGGGGAGAAAGAGGGAGAGAGAGACTGAGTGCATGTGTCTCACACAAATGGAATATAAATTAGCTCTCCTGGGCATCATTCTATTACTACTTTTGCCTTGGAAATATGAGCAGTGAGGCAAAAAACTAGATTCTCCTGTGAAACTTGCTGGTGCTGCCATCTGCCCATGGAGACTGATTGTTCTGTCTCTCCTTTCAAGAGTTCCTGTAGCATAACACCCTCAATTTTTCACACCATTTGGCTCCCATTTAACAGCTTTCTCTAGAAACATGTTTACTAGCACCTGGAACCCACAATCGATCTCCAATATCCACAGCCATTCTCTGTAAGCCATAACTCTCTGAAAGAGACTGTTTTTATTTCACCAGTCTGTTCTCTCATTGTTAAACACTTCATATTTCCATGCACTAATTTCTGTTATAAGCTCTCAGCACCAAAATGTTTTGTTTCTTCATTTTTTCCCCACATAGACTGACCTAAGTTCATCACAGCCACCTCTCAAATGCATTTAAAATTCAGTTTTTATTTCACCGGTCCCTTACACCTTTTATATGCTTTTCCCTCAACGTTGCTCAAACAATTTTTTAAAGTGAAAATTAAAATTAACAAATTAACAAATATTCACTTTTGCTCCAGGTCTTTCTTTCTTTCTTTCTTTCTTTCTTTCTTTCTTTCTTTCTTTCTTTCTTTCTTTCTTTCTTTCTTTCTTCTTTCTTTCTNAAATTTAATTGACTTTTTAAAAAAAATTCATAGCATTATTTAAAAATTTTCATTAGGTTTTCATAAAATCACCATTACTGTGGAGAGCCAATGGGCGTTTAGAAAATTTTACTACTAACAGAGATACAAAAGTGGGCGGTAGGTATAAAAATGTTGACTACCCCTGATCTATATGGAGTGAAGTAAGCAATGGGTACCCTAAGGTTATGTTTTAGGCCCAGTATTCCTCAATACCTTTATAAAAGATTTAGATGAGGGAATAGAAGGGGAACTCATCAAATCTGCAGACAATACTAAAGTGGCAGGAGTATCCAACACCCCAGAGGATAGGCTTAAGATCCAGATGGATCTCAACAGACTTGAACACTCTGCCCTATCCCACAAAATAAAATTCTATGTAGAGGAAAGTCAGGTTGTACACTTAGAGGGGGGAAACCAAAGACACAGGTACAGATTAGGTGAAACTTGGCTCTGTAGCAATAACTGCAAGACAGATCTTGGAATCCTAGTGACAATCACTTAACTATGAGCCAGCCTTGTATTGCATCCACCAAAAAAGTCTATGTTATCCTAGGCTGCATTAGCAGAGAGATAAGTTCAAGATCACGTGAAATCTTAGTACCACTTTATAAGGCCTTGGTAATACCACACTTGGAATAATGCATCCAGTTTTGGATTTGGATTTGATTTATTCAATTTGTATGCTGCCCTATTCCCGAGAGACTCAGGGCAGCTATAGTTTTGATCACTATACTATAGAAAGATGTTGAGCCTCTAGAAAAATACAGAGAAGAGCAATAAAGATGATATAGAGGGCTGGAAGCTAAAACGTAAAAGACCAGTTGCAGGAATTGGGTATGTCTAGCCTAGTGAAAAGAAGAACTAGGGATGATGTGCTAGCAGTTCTCCAATATTTGAGGGTTGCCACAAAGAAGGAGGAATCAACCTATTCTCCAAAGCACCAGAATATAGGAAGATAGAAGACAGCAAGCAGTGGTTGGAAACTAATCAAAGAAAGAACCAACCTAGAACTAAGGAGAAATTTCCTGATAGTGAGAATAAATCAG